AGAGTAAAGGAGGTATCAGGTCACACAAGTCCAGTTATGAATGTAGAACCCAAATAGTAAAGGAAGACTTTCTGTTTAAGTGCGAGTGAAAATGCCATTAATAAAAGCTCATTTCAAAGACCCTCTTAGCCTCCTTACAAATTGAAATAGGAGCTTTCAGAAAAGTAGGGTGTCTGAAGCTGACATTTAGGGCCCCATAGCAAATCTCAGCAGTTTTGTTTTGTTTTTAATGCCATTGTGACCACTGTCTGAATAAACTAGGTCTTAATTTTTGGGAGCTCTCCTGAGCTTAAGGCTGCTCCACCCTCTGCTCCCCCACACCCCACAACTTGGTGGAGTGAGGACTATGACATAGTCTCTTGGTCCCTTTTCTGCCTGCCTCCCTCCAAAGCTCTCTGCTTAGCTAAAGAATGACTGTCCGCACAGAATCTAACCTGCCTGGCCAGCTTTATTACATGGCCACATTCAACCTTGCACTTAACACGACATTTGTTTATGACCCGATGGGAAGGGCTAATGGTTTCATGAACCCACTCTGAAAAGAGTTGAGAGGAATCTAAAGAGAAGACCCTGAGATAGCCGGCAGGATCCAGTAGGGAGAACCGGGCTCAGAAGCAAAGGGGGTCTCTCTCCAGGAGCTATAAGATGTGGAGTGAGGGTAGAAAGAAACCGTTGTTCCAACCACCCTTATTTCCAGTACCACTAACAGCTGGGGAGAACACAGATCTGAGTGTCCAAGACCGGGCTCCACAGATGCCTCCAGTCCCTCTTGGGCAGCCTGGCCAGGCAGCCTGGACCTGCAGAAGGTTCAGGGCCTCTCTGGAACCTTGCACCATGAAGAACAAAACTAAAGGCCCTCCATCTTAAAACTGAGACCCACTCCCTAGAGAATAGGATGGGAGAGAAAAGGTCCTATGTCTCTTCTTTACCTATCTGAGTTCAGGGGAGCCTGAGAGGGCTATAAGGCACTCTTGTTTCCTGACCCTTATTTCTGACCCCTGTAGGAAATAGCCAAGAGCTTACAGACCACCAGCACAATTGAGTCTTATTCCTCTGCAAACATCGATTATTAATGACACAAACTGTGTAGAATGATAAATTGTAAAATGCATGCTTGTTTGTATGCAGTCTGGTCAAAAAAGCTCTGCTAACTACATAGCCCTGGAAAATAGTACACGTTCCTACCACATACGCAATACGCCAAAATGCAAGTTTTTATATGGCATGTAACATGCTGGCATTTACTTGCTCGCTGTATAAATTGCTAAGCAAATAAATGCACCCACTGCTACATAAAGGACAAAATACTTACTATCCCAAAGCTTTCTACAGAGGTTCACTTCAAAATTCGCCAAGTCCCGACCACTAGATCCTGCCTTGTGTCCAAGGCTAATTTCAAAATGTACTGTCTGTTAGGTAAAATAGCAAGAAGTTTCTCTTAGAATATTTTACAGAAAAAAATATCCTTATTGCTGAAAAAGTGCAAATCAAACCTGCAAACCACTAAGGAATAAGTAGTTCTCCCAGATTCAATAAGGTCAGCCATAGTTGTTTTCTCTTAAATTGGATGAGAAGCCAAAAGCACATGTGTTGAGAATAGAAAACATTGCCTATATGGTTTAAAAAATCAGAATAATTAGCAGAACTTCTGACCTTGCACTCAAATACAGCTTCTGAACTACTACTTAGGCAACTCCCATAGAAATAACTACATACGAATAACACAAACACCTTCCTAGACACACACGTCTTCCATGCCTGATTTTCAAACGTTGCACTAGAAAAGGGCAAGAATGATAGCTAAGAAGCTTGTCCCCCGAGCAAGTGTGTAAACACTCCCAGGAGTTTAGGAGAGGAGCTCTTCACAGCCGCAGAAGCCCAAGCACTGCACTCATGCCGGTTACCTTCTTCAGCCTCAGGAATTCGGGCCCCGAAGAAGGAAGAGCGAGGGGTGCCGCTGCCCACTCCGCATTCTGGTGTGGTGGGGCAGGGTCCCCAGTCGGGAGAGCGGGTTCTGCCCCCGACAACCACCCTCCCCTCGCCACGCCGTGCTCACCCCGGCAAGGCGGCTCCCGCGCAGGCCGCGTGCGTTTCCTCGGGGCGCGAAGGCAGAGGCTGCCCCGGGGCCGCGCCTCCGACCCACAGCGCCTACCCCACTGTCCCGCAGCCCACCCCTCGGAACCCCGCGGTCAAGCTCTCAAGAGCCAGGCTGGGGTAGGCCCAGGGCTGGCAGCGGCCGCGACGTGCTCTGGCCGTAAAGCCCAGGCCCAAGGAGCGGCAGAGGGGTGCGAGCACGTGGACCCCGAACGCGCCGAACCCGCTGCTCGCTTTGCATATCTCTTGCGTCCCTTAGGCCCAGCGACTCCCCGCGCCGGCCACCGCCAAATGATTTGTGGCCTCTGTAAACCGACCCCCAAAGCTGCGCGAGGACGCAGCCCAGCCGGGGAGGCCGCCTGGGGCCCACGCGCTGGCCCAGGCCGGTCCGGCGCGACCAGGCCCAGGCGGGGCGGGTTGGAAGTTGTCCCTCAAATCGTGCGGTTGCCGAGGCTGCGGGCTGGCGCGGGTCGCGTTGTCACCCGAGAGCAATGGAGTGCCTGTGACCTTTCCATCCCGGCTGAGCACCTAAACACACGTGTGTCTTCAAAACAAAGGCGGCGAGCGAATAGTATAAAAAGGGAGCACCGTGGGCCAGGTGGCGCGAGGCGGAGGTGCGGGATGAGCGGGACAAGCTGCTTTCCCGCGGCTCCACGGGCCCAGGCGGCGAGGGCCCGAAAGCGCTCCTCCTGGCTTCGCAACCCTCGTCCCTCCACACACAGCCCTGCTCTTTGCCATTTTCTGTTCAGCCCGATCTTTCAGGCACCCACGACCCAACCTGTGATTAATCCATCACAGCTAACGAGAGGTCTCCGCGGACTCTTTCCCCCCACCCAAACAACTGATTTCGGGGGAGAGGCAGCGGGGAGGAGAGCGAGAATCCGGGGACTGGAGGCGGCGGCGGCGGGGGGTGGGGGCGGGGGGCAGGGGTTGGGGGTTGGGGGTATAGAGGAAGGAGCTCCAAACACAAACAGAAGCCGGGCCCAGGCCGCGGCGGGTAATTACAACTAATTAGCTGCAGAGCGTTCCCGTCCGGGAGCGGCGTCCCGGAGGCAGGCGTCGGGCCAGGAGCGACCCGGCAAGACCAGGGCCGCGGAGAAACGCCCAAGCAGGAAAGCCCCGGGTGGGCCACAGGTCTACCCTCGCCAAGTCCCCATTCCAAAACGTTGCATCAGGCAAGTCGAGAAAGTCACAGTCTCGGCTGCCGGAGCTGACCGGCCTTGGGATAGGTCACCCATCCGAGCGGACGGGGCCATTCCGTTGGTCACCTGCTGCCGCTTCCCATCTGGGCCTAGACAACCCAGCTCCAGCCACCGGACCTTTTGTCCGCAAATCCTGGCTCCACGGTCAGCTCCCCAAAGTGCACCAACGCACAAACTCCACGAGGTCTGGCAGTGGATTCTTTCCCTTCACCACCCACCCCAAGTGGGTAACCCGACGCAGCGCCAGCGCCACGGGCTGAGACAGCCAAGCGGAGGTATAAACGCAGCAGTCAGGCGAGTCTCAGCCGGCCTGACCCGGAGAGACACCCGCGCCCTGGGCCGCTGCGCTCTTCCTTAGCTATTAGGTTACGACTCTGAGCGAGGAGACCCAGCAAATCAGAGGCCACGTAAAGCAGGTTTTGACTGAAATTAGAGTGTATTTATTTGCAGCAATCCTTTAACAATGATCAAATTTTGACAACAAGCAATAGCAATTACTGCTAAGTGTTGCCTCTAGATAGGAGCGGCAGATAGGAGGAAACTGTATTATCTCGAAAACAAACTGAAAGGCCCTGAATGTCTGTAATCAAATCGCCATCTCTCCAAAGTCTGATTGACAGGGCAGATCACCCTAAGATAATGAATTTATTACATTTCCTGGGTTATTTACAAAGGGGGAGGGTCATTCTGGGTTGCCCCCTAGGTTTAACTGTAAATTAACAAGAGATTATTAAAATGGATTGAAAAGAAACCACCCTAGACTAAAATGTTCTGCTCTTCTCTCCTTCCTTCTTATTGCTTTAAATTTTTTTCAAAAAATAATTGTTCTACAAACATATCTTCTAAAATAGTTTCCCAAAGATTACATAACCCTTTCCAACCCATAGTGTGTGTGTGTGTGTGTATACATATAGATATATATACACACATATGTATGTGTGTATATATATCTATATGTATATATATAGTTTTAAAAATCAACCCTTCTATGTAACACATGAAAGATTGTAAATGTGAATGAGTTAAATATATACATTTAAAAATTGGTTTATTTTTCCTCTTATAAAGTAGTGAAATTAATAGGCAAAATTTCTATCCAGCATTTGGCTCATGGGGATGTATAATAGAATCACGATTTTTTATGTGCTACACAAGCCAAATATTCATTTGTGTATATCTAGAGGCACATTCACATATCTCTACACACAGGTATCACTGTGGTAACACCACTGCTGATTCATGGGCTTAGAATTTTCAGATCATGTTCTGTCCTTACTGAAAAAAAATATATATTTGTGTATATGCCAACTCAGATCTGTTTAGGAAAATATCTTTTGACTAGCCACAAAGCAAGCTGACTATATAGTACATTTTGCAGAAGATGCTGCAGGAAAAAAAAAATCTAAACAAAAAGAGACTTTCATGTGAAGTTTGACAAGGAATAGTCACAGGGTTCCTCCATTTTTCAGCTATTTAGGAGAAGAATAGGTCATTTCTAGTCTTTCAATCTGAAATCTTTTTTTCTTATAATAATTACGGCTGTATTAAAGTATCCAGACATATAGATCTCATTCAAACTGAATGGTAATTTATTAATAAACAAACAATGAATATGTTCAACAAAAAGGAAAAAAAGATGATAGAATAAGATTAATACAGTTTCCCTTTTTATAATGAAAAAAAAAGCACAATTTAAAGTTTCAGGCAATTTAACGTCAGGTTTTGGAAACACTTTCTGGCGTTTGGTCCACGACATCCAACTACAAATTAAAAATAAATTACTATGTTGCAATTTACATTTTAAAACAAGTCCATGAATAAAAAGAAAGCGATTTTCATATACGGGGACTTTCCCCCTCCTTTCAACATAGGATAAAATATCTTACAGGTGAGAGGTGGAGGTAAGAGAAGGGCAGGGGAATGGGAGAGAAGGGAGAAAAGCGTGATCTCTGAAAAGCAAGAAGAAACTTACGTGTTATCTGGAGTAACACTGTCCTTTAATAAACCATGATTTTGCTGTCTCTGTACAAAATAGTTTACTGTTTTGTTTATTTAGATAAGGCAAAGTGAAGGTGGCTCTGAATCTTTTAAGAAAATAGTTTTCTTTGTGCTGGTGAGTTGAATTTTTGGAGGGATTCTGTTCGCTGGTTTGGTGAATGTTTTTCAAGGTTTTTTGTTTTTAATTGGATTTCTTTTTCTCTTCTTTTTTTGGTTTCGATTTGCATTGATGGTTCTTTTGGCTGTTCCTGCTTTAGGGTTCCATTCAGTCCGACTCTGGAGGGGGGGTCGGGGGTGTCAAAACTTGCTACAGTCGTAGACGAAAGCCCCGGACGTGCGGTACAGAGACTGGCTGGAAGGGAAGGCCATCTGACAGCTACTATTCCCGTTCACCGGAGAGTTGTTCAAGCCGATCCTCTGTGACTCGAACATCTCCCGCACAGAGTGGAAGTTCTGCTGCTGGCCCGGATAGCCCGCGGCGGCCGCCGCCGCCGCCGCGCTCGCCAGGTGGCCCAGGTCTCCGCCCGCCTGGTTCAGGTACCACGAGGTGAGGCGGCCTTGGTGGGCCGCAGGGTGGTGGCCGGTCTCCTGGCCCCCGCCGCCGTGACTCAGGGACGAGGAGCTGCTGCTGGTGACTGGGGGCAGAGAGTAGTCGGGCAGGGGGTCGTCCACTGCCGAGCCGCCCGCGCCCCCCGGCGCGCCCTGCAAGTGGCCGCCGCGCTCTCCCGCCGCGTACAGGCTCATGGCCTGCAGGTTGCAGTGGTAGGTTCCGGCGCCCGCCGCGCCGCCGCCGCCGCCGCCCCCTCCGCCGCTGCCCCCGCCAGAGCTGCCGGCGCTGGAGCTCTGGCTGCAGGGGGAGCTGTAGAGAGAGCTCTGGCCAGGCGAGTAGGCGCCGAGCGCCAGCGGGGGTGCGATGCCCGAGCGCGAGGACCCGGCTGCCGAGGCCAGGAGGCCTGAGTTGAGCTCCGCGGCCGCGCCCTGCGGCGACCCCCGAAGCGATGTCATGATGTTGTCCACGCTGAAGCCCTGACTGTGGTGCGGCGGAGGCGGCGCGGGCTGGGCGGGCGGCGGCGGCTGCGCGGGCTCCGCGCCGTCCAGGCTCAGTGGCCGCGCGGAAGGCAGGCTGCCCGGGGGGCTGCTCCCACTCGACAGGCTGCTGCTACTGCTGTCGGGGCTTTCGATTTTGGGCACCGCGGCGGCGCTGCCGCTGCCCAGGGCGGCGGCTGGGGACAGGGGCTGGGGCGGCGAGGGGCACGTACCGTTCTCGGTTTTGATGTCCTGAATGCGCACTGGCGGCGGCTGCGGTCCGGGCGCGGCGCCGTCTGCCTGCTCGGGCGGCGCGGGCGGGGGCTGGCGACCCGGCTGCGGCGGCGGCGGCTCCTTGAGGTGCAGCCGGTCCTTCTCCTCCTTGTCCTTCACCGCGTCCTTCTTCTTGAAGCGCCGCCGTCGCCGGAGGAAGCTGCCGTTCTCGAACATGTTGTACGAGTCCGGGTCCAGCGTCCAGTAGCTGCCCTTGCCGGGTTTCTTGTCGTCGCGGGGCACCTTGACGAAGCACTCGTTCAGGGAGAGGTTGTGACGAATGCTGTTCTGCCAGCCTTGTTTATTGTCCCGATAGAAAGGGAAGCGGTCCATGATGAACTGGTAGATGCCGTTGAGGGTGATCTTCTTGTCCGGGGCGTTCTGGATAGCCATGGTGATGAGCGCGATGTAGCTATAGGGAGGCTTCACCATGTCCTTGGGCTGTGGCTGCGGCGTGTAGGGCCCATAAGCGCGGGCCATGCCGCCCGGGTACTGCTCGGCGTGCGCCGGGTGCGAGTACACGCTCATGGGGGCCGGCATGGCTGTGTAGCCGCCCCCGGCCGCCGCCGCCGCGGCGCGGTAGTAGCTCTGCTCTCCGCCAAGGTAGGGCACCACTCCCAGGGAGTTGGGGCTGGACACGGAGTAGCGCGCCTGCATGGCCCCCGCTCGCCGCCGCCGCCCCGCGCCTCCCGCCGCCCCCCACCCTCCCTAGGCCGGCCACGCCGCGCCGGCTGCCCAGTCCGAGTCCGGGCCCCACAGAGCTGGTGCCGGGCCGCCGCGCTGAGTCGGGCTCGGCCGCCGCCGCCTCCCGAAGCCGCCGGCCGCGCGCGGCCTCTGCCTGCGCTTGATCGAGCTCTTGGGGCGCCTCGGGCCACTTCGGGGTCCGTGCTAGGGAAGAGAGCCGGACGAGGACGCGGCAAACGGCCTTGGAGGAACCCGCGGAGCAACTTCCAGGCGAAAACGGCAAAACAGAGTCAAAACTATAAAAACAAGAAGGCGCCCTTCTCGCCACACTGCCTGCGCCTTCCAGGAGACTCTGCCCTGAGCCGCCGGCGAAGGCGGCCAAATACCAGGGGCGGGGGGCAGCGCGCCGGCCGCCTTCCCGGGCCCCGCGTCACCTTTTTTTCAGTCTCTCGCGCGCCGGCCGCTTAAGGAAGCATTGGGAAAACTTCTGAACTTTTGAGCATCCGTCACCCAGGCGAGGACTTTTTTACGCAGTTACATTTTTTCCGGGCCGCGGAGCCCCGCCCCACCCCAGCAGCAGCAGCCAATGGTCGGCGAGAACCGCCTCTGAATGAGCCGGAGGCCGAGCCCTGGCTGCCCGCGCCCAGCTGCGGGAGGACCGCAGGGCTGACCACACGCGCGCCGGCGGTTCGGAGCCCGCGCCCCTACCCCTGCCCCTGCCCGCGCCAGGCCTGCGCCCACAGCAAAATCGTTCCCCGAGCCCCAGCCGTCCGCTGCCGCTTCCCACACTGTCTCCCACTCCCGGCCCTCCGCACAGGCGTCCATTGTTCTCGCAGACTTCCTGGGTCCTCTTGGGCCCCACGCAGACCCTTCCTCCGTCCACCGCTCCAAGATGTCACCGAGTACTCGAGCCCCAACTTGGGATGGCTCTCTCCCATTCCTTGGTCGATCTGGCTGATTCTAGTGCCGGGATTTCCTGGGCTTCTCTTCCCCTCCTCCTTTTCAAACCCCTCACCTTTCCTCTCTTTCCACTTCTTCCCTCTCGTTGCCAGTCTCACTTGGTTCACAGATATGTTCATTTGCCCCTCACCTGGAGATTCTCTTGTCCGGGAGCTGGGTTGCAAAGGACAGGGTTTTAAGGCTCAGTCATAGCCATGCTTTCCCGGCGGGGCAGGAATTGTCGCCCCCACCTCGGCTGCCTCGTGACATCCACCCAGTAGAAGTAAGGGAGAGGGGATATGGGGCCTTGCCGGGACCGCTGCCCAGGTAGGCTCCGCCTGCCGCATTTCAGGCCACCTTGCTCCTCGTCTCCCCCAGGGCATTTGACACCCCAAGGGTGTTAGAGGCTCTGGCTGCAGGGGCCAGGAGGCTTCCTTGCGCTCCCCTGTGGCGGGAAGGGTGGGGGGCGTACGTGATCCCTAAAGTTCGCCACAAGCCGCAGGGTCTTTGCCTCTGGTCCGGCATGTTTCGGCTTAGAGGAGGGGTCACGCTTCGGGCTCAGTGACATTAGCAGGTGTGATGACAAGAAGCAAATAAACACGTCCAAGAACTTAACGCGTTTCAGTTCAACCTCCATCTCCACACGCGCGGTGCTGCCGACTTGCAGATAACGGGTGTGTTGGCGGGGTGGGGGCGCAGTTCAGAATCGCACCTGCGGAACAGCTCAAGGATTGGGGGGTGGGGTAAGCACGGAGGGCATATCCTTGTGCACGCCTGAAATGTACAGTTTCTGAAGGACTGGAATGGCATGAAAAGAGGAGAAAGGGAAAAAAACGAAGGAGCAGGAAGAAATTTGGCCACCCTCCGCCTGCAGCTCAATTCTGCCTTTTGGCAACTCTAGAAAAGACCCTCCTGAAGACTGAAGACTAGATCCTTTACCAGAAGCCGGGGCGGGCGGTGGGGGGGGGGTGTTGCCAAGCTTAGGAAACTGTGAAGAAGAGTAGTGTGACGCATTTAACACCGCCACTCCCCCAATTTCTGACAATCTTTAACTGCAAGGACGTGTTGGGAGCCCCTTTTGGCTTCCCAGCTGGAATCCCGGCTTCCTTACTGCACAAAAATTCTCATTGTCGCTTTAGTTGTTAGATATCAAAGGGGCTGACTTGTGTAGCAGACTCAGCTCCGTGTTACTTGAACATTTAAAAAATAGCGTGTTTCAGAATGGACTTTTACATGGAAAGAAAAGGACCTGCTACTTCTAGAACTAGCGAGGGGGTGGGGGGTTGCCGGAAGTTCCGATTCCTGAGGCAGCTGCCTCTTGGCCTGCTGTGCTTTTGGGACACTTGGAACTCCTTTTCCAGGGTGTTTGCAACGCCCGGGAGGGCTCGGATTGGAAGAAACACTTGATTTATCAGCAGGAGGCTCAGTATTTGATGGTTCCTAAAAATACTTGCAAGGGAGGAAGGGGGGAGAAGACCCCCCCCCAACTGAAAAATTAATTCATGTCCAACTCCCATTCCTATACTCCTTGGCTGATGCTCTATGGGGCACTCTGGCTTCAACCTGGAAGCCAATTAATTGGTCTCCCTAAACGCCCCAGTATTAGGTGAATTTGAACTTCAAACTGCATCTCCAAGGCTCACAGTGCATGGAAAGGAAAGCAGCAATAGCGACTCGTTTGTGTTCCTAATGTGGGAAACGGCTGCCCCGGGTTTTGCAATGGTCGGTTGTGTTTAGCGGTCTCTCCCCAGCACACCGTCTCCTTCCCTCCCCTCGCTGTCTTCCTCGGCCAGCCCCAAGAAGTGTGAACAGCTTGTTATGTAAATTGCAAATCGAACAGAGGTGGTGTTCTGGGCTCCCCACTTTGGATATAAAAGTTACCGTTGTGAAATTAGTATCTGGCATGCGGGAAAAAAAAATGGAGGGATGCAGTTTTATAAAGATCAACTTTCCACTGGTTTAGCTCTGGATATTCGCCAGGAAAAGATATTTGCATTTGTGTTTTATAAGCTTACTCGGAAACAAACCTCCAGTAAACGGCTTGATTATATTTCAAGTACTTTGCTTATTTTATTATTGTTGTTAGTGGTGTTATTTTAACGTTAAGGCACAGAAATGAAGTCTTTTGGGCAATGGGTTAAATTTTTTATTTTCAGTTAAAGTTTTTGATGCCCCTTTTCCCAGCTCCTGGGGTAGTTCAGTCATCAGTCTCCCAAACAACCCTTGACTCAACTGGCAGAAATGCCCCGGCAGGAAACCTTGGGCTTCTTTTCTGACACCTCCCGTGCTTGCAGCCTGAAGGTCCGGCAGGCGACTGCAGTAAAGGTATTTGGGGGAACTGTTGCTTCACCCGCCCCGCCAGCCCCCAGCCCCACCTTGACCTGCCAGGTGGGGTTACAATTCCTGGGGCCCACTGAGGGGTTCTTAGCTCTGAGGAGGGGGCGTGACGTCACAGCGATATTTAAAACAAGGCCTCCCCAGGGCCCCTACTGTAGAAAAGCACCAGGGGGATGTGGCGAGCACTCCAGGAAATGCTTGGATTCCGAACGTGGTGACACCGCAGGAATGTGTGTTTTGGGGAGAGTGGGGGTGGGGGTGAAGGAGATAGTGCCCTAACGCAGGTCACCAGGAGCCAGAAGGAGCTCTTTCTCTTTTCTTTTCTTTTTATTCAAGTCGAGTAGAGGGAATAAGGATTCACACGAGCCCTGAGTTCAAGAAATGACTCCCGAGCGGTCTCAGACTAGCCCAGGTGCATAGATTGTCCTCTGAGTCAGAGACCCCTCAGGAACTTTCCAGCCCCAGCAGCCCAGTCGTCCCTAGACCTGCTGAGACCCCCTCCCAGTGGCAGTGCCGGCGTATCCAGCTTTTGGCTCTCAGTTATGCCCAAGAAGCTGGCCCGTCAGGGGTCTAGGCGGCCCTCATGCGGATTCCCAGGGGCCCCCACTTGGTCCAGGAGCTGCGGGGAAACAGCAAAAGTAGGCTTAAAGATGAGGGAAGAGAGTTCTGCTCTAGACGGTGAGTGGAATCCAGAGGATTCTGCAAAATCAGGAGGGAGGCTGCAGGTCAGCTGCCGTCTTACCTTCTCCCACTCTGCTGCCAGGAGACAAACTGGAAGATTAAGGCAATTACCCTGCCAATGAGATTTGAAAACTCCCCACTACACCAAAATCACAAATAACCGGATCAAAGTCCGTGTGGGGGGTGTCTTTGAGCTATTTAGATAGATGCCTGTGGTTCTAAATATGGCCTCTTTTGCGCAGACCAGGAATCCGGGAGTAGGAGAGGATATTTCAGTGTCAATAACCGTTATTCGTTATCAAATCTTCAGCCCGGAAGGTAGCGTTTGTCTTCAATGAGACTTGTCAGCAGAGGGAGGAGGCGGGGACCCAACGTCTGGGTGGCGGAGACTCAGAGGCTTGCTTTCTTCTTCCCTCTTAGTTGGGGGGTTTCTGAGTAGAAGTTCTGTTAACGTGGTACCTGTAATTCAGCCCTCAGCAGAAAAATAATTCCTACAACAAATAAAAGAGCGTTTGTTTTTCGATTATGTTTAAAGACAAAGTGATCCACATTGCCTGTCTCCATGATTGAACTAATTGGATAGTTGCCCTCATAGGAGCAGATCTCCACAGGAAGTTTCTGTGATGCGATAATTTAATGTCATACCCCAAGTCCCCAAGATGGGCCGTCCCACTAATTACTTACTCAGGAGAATGCTCTTTGTTACCCCGTCGGGTCGGCCCACCTGTCACCTCAGAGCCGATCTGAGTAGCAAGGAAGGGGCACAGGGCCTGTGGGAAGTGAATCTTTAACTTTAGTGCCTGGCTGCAAAAGACTGAGGGCTTCCTTTGTCCAGGCAGAGGTAGATAGACAACTGAACTGTCGTCTTTCATTAACAATGCAGGACAGGAATAAAGTCCATGAAGGGGTGGGTGATTGGAAAGGACTAGGTGCCTGCGTGTGCATGCGCGCACCTGCTTGGCCTCGCATCCTGGTCCCCAGCAGACTCAGGACCGCTGCAGCAAGGCAGGTCCTGA